GGCACTTCACCGCCTCCAATGCAGAGAGCTCTTGTGGCTCGGGTGCTGATTTCTGCGTCCCTGGTGCTCCTGGCATGTGCCCCGCAACCGGAAGCAGAGCTGGAATGGAGCACTTCCGCAGAACTCAGGTTTTCTTGACTTCAGTGGCACCGACTGACCTGGAAAGGGTGCATGGCATGGTGGAGCTGGCATTCTGTGTGATGTCTTGTAAGCCTTGGAACATGCTGCTTCTCCGTGGCTGGAACCTGTAGGCGATGCAGTGTCCTTTTTGGGCCTGGAGGAAGACTCCCTGCCATGTTATGCACATGTGTCTCAGCCTGACAACTCGGCCCTTGCCTGGGTCCATAGCACTGGTACCAGTTGAACCGGACCTGGTCTCCGTGGTAGGAGGTGCACTCCTGGGCTTCTCAGGCTGATGTACTGTGGGGGCAGTCCCTAGCCGGGGTCTGACTGTGGTCTCATGGTGACCTCCATGAGGTGGTTCTTGAGGCAGAGAGCCCAGCCTGCCTGGGTACGGCTTGGGCAGGAGAGGCAGATATGGCACCTGAAAGCAACATGGGCTTCTCCCAAGCAGTAAAGGCAGTGCTTAGCTCGTCACTGACCAAGAATGAGTGATGGCAGGAGGTGCAGATCCTGAACCCCCATGTCTTCGGCATAACCCAGTACCCAGACCTGGTTGCTAGGGAGGGTGAAGTGGGAGAGCAGGAGACGGGTAGAATGGCATCCTGAAGTCCCTAACAATCCTAAAAACTAAATTACTGTAAAACCAACAAAAATACTAACCATGTACAGGTAGAAAACCATCTTTTCCCCCCTGCATTTTAGAAAGTGCATCACATTCGGACCATGCAGCAGTGAGAAGGAAATGAGGGCATGGTCAGCCCGCCCTGCCCTTTATCGTCTCAGACAAAACCATGAAGCGTAGCGAGTACGCATGTGTGGACCAAGGGACACTACTACTTTCAAAATCTCCAGCTCTGGATTCATGGCACGTGTGTACAACCTTCCGTGGAAGAGAATAGGGACCATCATTCGAACAACAACTGTGGTATGTAACCTATTGCTTACATCAGCCTCTGTACCAGATGACTGGAGGGTAACTAATGTGATGCCAATTTTTAAAAAAGGCTCCAGAGGTGATTCTGGCTATTACAGGCCAGTGAGCCTAACTTCAGACCCAGGCAAAACTGTTTGAAACTATAGTAAAGAACACACAAATAAACGTGATATGCTGGGGAAGAGTCAACATGGGTTTTGTAAAGGGAAATCATGCTTCCCCAATCTACTAGAATTCTTTGAGGCGGTGCAGGAGTCCGGGGGGGGGCTCGGGACCGCCCCCCGGGCCCGGCGGGCGCGGGGGCCGGCCCCTGTGGGGGGGCGGCTGGGGGGCCCCCCCCCCCCCCCCCCCCCCCCCCCCGCCGGCCGGCCCCCCCCCCCCCCCCCCCCCCCCCCCCCGCCCCCCGGGGGGGGCGGGGGGGGGGGGGGGGGCCCCCCCCGCCCGCCCCGGGGCCCCCCCGGGGGGGGGGGGGGGGGGGGGGCGGGGGGGGGGGGGGGGGGGGGGGCGGGGGGGGGGGGGGGGGGGTACAGGAGCAGGGCTGGATCCTGTCCCAAAGAGACACAGTCCCCCCAACAGGGTCCGAGTGGTGTCCTGGGGCACCCCAACGCCAGCCAGCCCCACCCTCCTGGGTCTGCACAGGGATCTGGGCCATAGGCAGGGCGAGGGCTCGCCCTGGGACCCTCACCCAGCTCCACAGGCCCTCAGCCTCTGGGCTGCACCACCCAGGGTCTGACCCAGTTTCTCTGTCCCAGGATCTCGCCACCCCAGGAATGTCTCCCCATTGACCATCCCCTCGCTCCCACTGGGGTCCGAGGGGCCTGACCCCAGGGAACTCCACACAGACATATAGGTTGGGGTCAGGAGTGGGAGCCTGTCCACCTCCCCACCCATCTGGCTGATGGAGTCTGTGGCCTTGGGACCCAGAAGGGAGCTAGACACCGGGGTTTTCCGCAGGGTCCCCCTGGTTCAGATCTCCAGCCTGCTCAAAGGCAGTGAGGTGGGCATCCACCCCCCCTTAACTAGGGGCAGCAATTTAGTCTCGAGGTTCCCTGCGGAACTGCCCCGGATCTATCCCCCTCACCCCGGGAGGTCCCCTGCCTCCCCCCCACCACCGCCATTCATCCTGCTGTGTTCTGCAGCTCTTTCTCGGGCCTCGCTCTCCCACGGTCCTCTTGCTCTCTCAGACTCCGCTCCAATCCCGTGTCTGATCCCCCGATGGGGGAACCCGATCGTGAAGACCCCGTCTGGTCGGGGACAGGAGTCTTGGGGATGCCTGCTCCCCTTCAGCTGCTCCCAGATCCTGCTATAGCCCCAGTTGGGGTCAGGAATCTGTTCCTTGAGCGGTCATCCTCCTCCAGCTGCACGATTAACTCTGCTTTGGTGAACTTTCCAACCTCAACCCTCTCTTTTGCACAGTGTTACAATGTCCTTCTTAAGGAGACAGTGAAGGCTCCGCTCCTCCCAAGTTGTTGTGGACTCGAGGCCCGGTGTTCTCACTCCCCACGGTTTCCAGGGAGAACCCCTAGTGTGCCAGCCCTTCTCGAGGTCACCACCTCTTTGCCAGGGTCGAGCTGCAGACTCCTCCGCCTCTGAGACTGCTCACTGAGTCCCCAGGGGCCCCATTACTGACAGTCCTTCTCGCTGGTCTCACACTCCCAGGGTTACCGCCCCCGAAACCGCTCCTCTCTGAGCCTTCAGCAGGCCTGGTCTCGGCAATCCCCCTTCGTGTTCTGCTCCCCAGTCACTTACTGCAGGAAGCACCATACGGGGTGCAGTACATCCCACCGCTGCCACCAGTTGTCCGGAGTCCCTGGGCGATGTCTGGAACTGCTCCCCATGAAGCCAGTCAGGACTCTGGGGAGTCGCCTTCTGTGAGCAGCCTGTCTGCAGGACACACAGCTCACATAGCTTCCACCTTCCTGGGTCTGACCTCGAGCATTCAGCATCCTCTGCCCCTCCGTGCGCTCCCCCAGCGAGTCCGCTCAGGCGGGGCTCCTGGGGAAGCCAGAGGGTCCTGCACCCCAACTCCGCAGTCAGACGTGACTCTCAGCCAGCCAGTAAAACAGAAGGTTTATTAGACGACAGGAACATGGTCTAAAACAGAGCTTGCAGGCGCAGAGAACGGGACCCCTCAGCTGGGTCCATTTTGGGGGGCAGTGAGCCAGACAACCACGTCTGCACTTCACTCCATGTCCCAGCCAGCCCCAAACTGAAAACCCCTCCAGCCCCTCCTCCTCTGGGCTTTGTTCCTTTCCCGGGCCAGGTGGTCACCTGATTCCTTTGTTCTCCAACACTTCAGCTCTCACCTTGCAGGGGGGGAAGGGCCCAGGCCATCAGTTGCCAGGAAACAGGGTGTCGGCCATTCTCTGTGTCCAGATCCCTGCACACACCTGCCCTCTAGGGCTCTGCAATGATCATACACCCTTACCCCACCACCTAGATACTTAAGAACTGCATAGGGGAAACTGAGGCACCCCCACACTATTCAGAGGAAACATTAAGAACAGGCCCACTTCGTCACAGCGGTCAACAAGCATGAAGTGATCCCGTGGATATAGTGTTCCTGGATTTTCAGAAAGCCTCCCTCACTAAAGGCTCTAAAGCAAAGTAAGCAGTCCTGGGATAAGAGGGAAGGTTCTCTCATGGATCAGTAACTGGTTAAAAGACAGGAAACAAAGGGTAGGAATAAATGGTCAGTTCTCACAGTGGAGAAAGGTAAATAACGGGGTCCCCCAGGGATCTGTACAGGAACCTGTGCGTTCAACATATTCATAAATGATCTGGAAAAAGGGGTGAACAGTGAGGTGGCAAAATTTGCAGATGATACAAAATTACTCAAGATAGTTAAGACCAAAGTTGGCTGCGAAGAGTTACACAGGGACCTCATTAAACACAAGGACCTCACTAAACTGGACAACAAAATAGCAGATGAAATTCAATGTTGATAAATGCAAAGTAATGCTGTCACGTCACACATGTACATTGGAAAACATAATCCCAACTATGCATACAAAATGATGGCATTGAAATTAGCTGTTAGCACTCAAGAAAGAGATCTTGGATAGCTCTCTGACAACATCCACTCAGCGTGCAGCGGCAGTCAAAAAAGCGAACAGAATGTTAGGAACCATTAGGAAAGGGACAGATAATAAGACAGAAAATATCACTATATAAATGCCACTATATAAATCAATGGTACACCCACACCTTGACTAATGTGTGCAGCTTTGGTCACCCCATCTCAAAAAAAGATATATTAGAGTTGGAAAAGATACAGAGAAAGGCAACAATAATGATGAGGGGGGAATGGAACAGCTTCTACATTAGGAGAGATTAGAAAGACAGGGACTGCTCATCTTTGAACTATGGAGTTATATGACAGAGGTCTATAATTGTGACTGGTCCGGAGAAAGTGACTCATCGAAGCATAAAAGGGCATGTGACTAGATAAGGGGACACTGGACTCCATTTTAGTGCCTGTGTTTTTCCACACACTGGGTTGGGGGCTTGGCTTGAAACAAAGAAGCTCCTTCCACATGGAATAAACTATAAAAGGGGGAAGTCAGTTCAACCGGGAGAGCCTCACTCCCTCTCAACACAACACCTGGAAACACCTTAGGAACAAAGACTGAATGGGGGGTGCCAGGCAGGAAAGAAGGAAGCCTGCCTGTGTAGGGAAGCTGGGTGGACAGTTTGTACTATCTAACTGTTTAATCCTATCCAGTTTAGAGAATTTAGATTGCGGTTTTATTTTTTATGGTAACGTACTTTGATCTGTATGCTATTACATATAATCACTTAAAAGGGAGCCCAGACTGGCGAGACAGAGGGTTCAGCGATACCGCAGTTCCAGGTTGCATCCCAGGGGAAATGCATCACAGGCTCCCCACGGGTCCTCCCCACCTCCAGATCAGCCCCCAGGCTCCCCTGGGCCTGCACTCACCTCGTTCTTCCTGCCCAGCAGGAGGTAGGTGGCCGTGACCTCGTTGTATTTTTGGCTGTTCAGGGCTTCCTTGATCTCCTCGCGGGTGTATCCCATTCCCACCATCACCTCTGGAAGAGAGGGGTTGGATTCACTTCTGGCACAGACAACACCCCCACCCCTGCCGGGGCAGGTGCCATGCAGTGTCCAGCCCCCGCCAGATGGCACAAGCCCCGTGTGTCCCCTGGGCTAGATGATAGGCCCATGGGCAGCACCCATTTGCCCAGGTACTTCTGAGCCCTGTCGGGGCTGGGATGAAGGGGCCATGTCCCGGCCCTGGGACCCTGTGCAGCTGTCCTGGGGACAAATGCTCCCCCAATAGGCGTTCTCCCCTTGGTCATCAGGGTCCAGACAGTGGTGCTCACTCAGCACAGCAGAGCCCTGGACCCTCACCGATGCGCTTGGTGTCCCCAAAATCCTCCTCAGGCTCCTTGTAGGGCTTCAGCTCGTCGCCCTCGTAGCCGATATTGATCCATTTGTCCTTCATGATTTGCTGAGAGAGAAGGGATGGATTAGGAGGTCTCGGGCCTCCCTGGTGGGGGGGCTGCATCTCGAGACCAAGCACCCCTCACCCTCCCTCCCATGGGGACACGGGACACAACTGCTCCTTGCCACGCACCCATCGCCGCCCCCCCCACAACCGGGACAAGGGCCGCGTCTGCCTCCCACCACGCACCCATCATACACACACGCCTCCGCACTGGGGGAAGGGCCATGTCACTACGCACTCCTCCCGCTCCACAACCGGGACAGGGGCTGCATCTGCCCCTGCCACTTACCCATCAACCCCCGCCCCCGCCACACACCCCAGGACAAGGACTGCGTCTTCCCTCCGCCACACACCCATCAACCCCATGGGAAGTCTCCCTGCCCGGCACCCATCACTCTGCCCCGCCCCAGGACAGGGCCTGTCTCTCCCTGCCAGGCACCCATCACACCCCTACCCCCAGCGGGACAAGGGCAGAATCTCCCCCCCGGCACCCCTCAGGACGCAGCCTGCATCTCCCCGCTGGGGAACAGGCTGTGTCTTCCCACCACTGGGCAGACCCTCCATCCCCGGCAGGGCCTGCAGACCAGGAGCAGAGACAAAGGACTCAGTGCACTCCTTCCAGTGCACCTGGGCCCCATCCCTGCTGTGTGTCTAGAGATGCTGTGGGTTAGGGAGCCCGACAGCCCAAATTCTGGCCCCCAGGGAGCTCCCATGGCCTGCAGGAGCCGCACCTCCCCAGGGACTCCCTGCTGGCTCTGCAGATCCCACCCGCGCAGGGGGCTGAGCTCTGTGGGGGCTGCACGGAGCCTGCCTGGGTCTCAGACACCCTGTAATTATCCCCTGAGTCAATTACACTAATTACAGTCATTGGGGAGACAGCGCCAGGCAGGGCCCTGTGCAGGCAGAAACAGCTTAATGGAGAGCTCGCTCCCATGGGGATTGCTGCCACTCGGGGGGCACAGTGCAGAGCAGAGGGCAAAGATGGCGTCCCAGCAACACGGACAGAGTTGGGGGGGCTGGGTAAATGGGGCCACAGAGCACAGGAGCAGCAGGGTGAGGAAGTGGGAATGTTGGTAATATTATTATGATGCCCCTGTGTGCCTCGGTTTCCCTCTGGGCTTTGCACTGCTCTGCACAGGGTGTAAAGGGTTAAACAGTTACTCCAGGAGCAGAGGCGGGGCTGGGAGGCACCGCACTGTCTGGGGGCTGCCAATAGGTTGTTCCGGGCAGGGTGTAACCGACCCAGATCGATGGAGGGCACAGGGAATGGGGAATGCCAAGGGACTGAGCACAGGGAATGCCGGGAGGTCCCGGTTCTCCCGGGGGCACCCTGCCAGCCTTCCCTCCCCTGGGCACTCACCTCCAGGGTGCAGCGCTTGGCAGGATTGAGCACCAGGAAGCGGCGCAGGATGGTCTCGCAGTCTGTGGACATGTAGAAGGGGACGCGGTACTTGCCTCGCAGCACTCGCTCCCGCAGCTCCTGGGGGGATGAGGGAGGGTCAAGTCAGGCAGGGATCCCCCCGCCAGCCTCCCTGCCTGCCCGGGACCTGCTGAGCCATCCCCAGGGACTTGGCTAGGAACTGGCCCCAAAGGGTTCCTCCCTCCCCCTCCGCATACAAAGGGGGGGTCAACTCCGATGCAAGGCAGGGACTGGGCTCTGCCTAGCAAGGCTGTAGGGTCCCCTGGGCCCCAGCTCTGTGCCCAGGCTCTGGCTATAGGGACCCAGAGCCTCCTCTGTGATGCAGGGGACAAGGCCCTGCAGAAAACACAGCCAGAGCTAGAGATTGCCTTTCCGCCGGGCTAAGCGCTGGCCCTGCCATCATGCCCCCCCAACACCCACAGCCCCATGTCCCTCCAGGACCCCCTGTGCCCCCATCTCCCCACCCCCATGTCCCCTCCAGGACCCCCTGTGCCCCCATCTCCCCACCCCCATGTCCCCCCCAAACACCCACAGCCCCGTGTCCCTCCAGGACCCCCTGTGCCCCCATCTCCCCACCCCCATGCCCCCCCGGACATCCTGTACCCCCATCTCCCCACCCCCATGCCCCCCCAACACCCACAGCTCTGTGTCCCTCCAGGACTGTACCCCCATCTCCCCACCCCCATACCCTCCAACACCTCCATCCCCATGTCCCCCCAGGACCCCCATGCCCCTGAGTCAACACCCCCCCATCCCTGTGTGCCCCCCAGACACCCCCATCCCTGTGTGCCCCCATGCCCCCCTGCTCACCTTGAGGTTCTGCCCGTCGAAGGGCAGCGAGCCGCTGACCAGGGTGTAGAGGATGACCCCCAGGCTCCAGATGTCGACCTCAGGCCCATCGTATTTCTTGCCCTGGAAGAGCTCGGGTGCGGCGTAGGGGGGGCTCCCGCAGAACGTGTCCAGCTTGGAGCCCAGCGTGAACTCGTTGCTGAACCCGAAGTCAGCGATCTTGATGTTGGCATCGGCGTCCAGCAGCAGGTTCTCTGCCTGGGGGGGGGATGGGGGGCACAGCAGGGTCCGGCCACGCCCCCACAGCTGGGGGGCTGGGGTACGTCAGGGTCAGGCCCCACCCCCACAGCCGGGGGGGGGGAGGGGGTGGGAGGATAGGGGCAGTGCCTGGGAGGGAAGGAACAAGGGGGAGCGGGTGCTGGGAGAGGGCCTGGGCTGGGGCAGAAAGGAACTCTTGCCTTCAGGTCTGGTGTGGTCTGGGGGGGGGGGTAAGTACACGGGGGGGGGCCTGGGGGGATGCTGGCGCAGTGCCCAGGGTGGGGAGAGGGGCAGAACCCGGGTGGGGTGACTCACCTTCAGATCTCGGTGCACGATGTTCTTCTGGTGACAATAGTGCACGGCCGAGACGATCTGGGGGCAGAGCTGGCAGTGACTATGGGACTAACAGACGCCATCCTCTGCCCCCCATTGCTCCCCCCACCCCCGCTGCCCCCCAGGAGGGGAACTGCTCCTGTAAGACGAGTGCTCTGCTGCCAGGGATCGATGGCTGGGAAGGCAGCGCCCATCCAGATTTCCAGGCCGGCTCCCAGCAGGGAGCCCTTAAACCCTCCCCCCCCACCCCCCACCCCCCGCCACACACAAGAAGAGTGGTTCTCACGCTTTTGTACTGGTGACCCCTTTCACACAGCAAGGCTCCGAGGGCGACCCCCCTTACAAATTAAAAACACTTTTTTATATTTAACGCTATTCTAAATGCCGGAGGTGAAGTGGGGTTTGGGGGCTGCGGCTGACAGCTCATTACCCTCGGTGTAATAACTCCTGATCCCCTGAAGGGTCATGAGCCCCAGTTTGAGAATCCCTGCACAAGAGGGTCAGCAGCAGAGCCCTTCCACTCTCCCCTGCCCCCTCCCCCTACTCCACACACACCACTCAGCCTCTGCCCCACAGACTAGGGCCAGCAACGCAGCCTCCCCCCACAGAGCACACAGCCCCCCCACGCAGAACACGCAGCCCCCCCGACCCGTCAGCAGAGCCCCCCACAGAACACGCAGCCCCCACGTGCAGAGCCAGCAGCCCCCCATGTGCAGAACACGCAGCCCCCCCGACCCGTCAGCACAGCCCCCCCGCAGAACACGCAGCCCCCACGTGCAGAGCCAGCAGCTCCCCCCATGTGCAGAACACGCAGCCCCCCTGAGCCGTCAGCACAGCCCCTCACAGAACACGCAGCCCCCACATGCAGAGCCAGCAGCCCCCCATGTGCAGAACACGCAGCCCCCCCCGAGCCGTCAGCACAGCCCCCCCGCAGAACACGTAGCCCCCACGTGCAGAGCCAGCAGCCCCCCCCCCACGTGCAGAACACGCAGCCCCCCGAGCCATCAGCACAGCGCCCCCACGGAACACGCAGCCCCCACGTGCAGAGCCAGCAGCCCCCCGCACCACACACGCAGCCCCTCCACAGAGCACACAGATCACACAGCCCCCCCCCCGCCCTCATCCCTCAGGCTGGAGCTGACCAGAGACTCCGCCCTGAGCTACAGTGATGTGCCCAAAAGGGCAGGGGCTAGGGGTGCGGAGAACTCCCACCCCGCTCCCCACAATCCCTGCTGCCAGCTCCCCCCACAGCCAGCGCCTGCCTTCTCCCCACAGCGCCCCCTGCTGGGGTGGGCAGGGCTCTTGTCCATTCCCCTGTCCAGATTCTGTCCTGACCTGTCTGAATTTTGCCCGGGCTTCCTTCTCCTTCATCCGTCCATGTGACACGAGGTAGTCAAAGACTTCGCCTGCGGGGAGGGGGTGCGGTCAGGAGCAGTCTGTAGTGGCAGGGGGTAGTGCCGGGGGGGGGTCCATTACAGCGGGCCATGGAGACCCCACACATTCCCCAAGAGCGGCCAACCAGGCTGGTTGTGCCAGGGTTCATGCCCCCCACCCGACACTGGCCCACCCAACCGCACCCTGCAGCGTCCACGATGGGATGAGCCTGAGCCCAGGTGGCACCAGCCCGCAGGCACAGATGGGAGCCGCCCATGGAGCCACTGGAATGGATGGGAATGTGTACGCCCCCCGCCTGGCTCCCAGTGCCAGCCTGCGCCAGGGAGGCAGCTGCCAGGTGGGTGGCACCTGCAGGGGCCTAGTGGCTTGGCTTATTTTAAACAGAGCGAGGATAATTTTAGCAGCATGAGGGGGAGCCAAGCAGGGCCTGTGATCAGGAGGGGCTGTGGGAGGGAAGAGGGCGCATCCCGCCAGGCAGAATCCCTGGTCAGGCAGGGATGTGGGGGGAGTCACACCAGGCAGAGCCCTCGGTCAGAAGGGAGTGGGGGCATGTCACGCCAGACAGGCCCCTCGTCAAAAGAAGCTGTGGGGGGGGTCACACTGGGCAGGGCCCCTGGTCGGGGGGGCGGTGGGAGGGGATATGTCAGGCAGGACCTGTGGTCGGGAGGGGTGGGGTGGGGTGGGGACATGCCAGGCAGGGGTCCTGCCTCCCCGCCACACCTGTCTATCTCCCCAGGCTGTGACTGCTGGGGAGGCCTTTGGGGTGCTGGGCCAGGATGGCTCCCATCGCTACCTACAGGCTCAGAGGGTCCCAGAGCCAGACTGCACCCCAGGGCAGGCTGGGTGGGGCTGTAGCCCATAGAACACTGGAGGTGAGCCGGGCAGAAGGATCTGGGGGCCATGCAGAGAGGGGGTGCGGGAACACAGAGGGGTCCAGATCTCCAGGTGCAGCACAGACACCCCCAGGGGTTGCAGGCATGCAGAGGGCACAGGCCTGGGGGAGCAGATGGCGGGGCAGGGGCTGCTGGCATGGCAGGGGGCATTCTCACCAGCACTGGCATACTCCATCACCAGGTAGAGTGTTTTCTCCGTCTCTATCACCTCAAACAACTTCACTGTAATGAGAGACACAGGTCAAGGCCCAGCTCCCGACATCGCCCAGCGAGCCCCACTCTCACCCGCACAGCCCACATGGTGCCTGCCGCTGGGGCCCTGGTCGGGGTCTCTCCCATGGTGAGGCTGGAAGCTTCTTCACTCCCTGTGCAAGCCCCAGTGCCCCTAGCTCCTGGTGGTGTGGACAGGGCGGCACTGTTACTCCCCACGCGGGATGGGGAGTGGCGTCTCTGAAAACGCCCTTCGCAGCACAGCATGGATCCCTTCCAGAGGGCTGGGGGCCATGACACCGCAGAGACAGCTCTGATCTTTGGGGGGAGAGATAGCTCAGTGGTTTGAGCATTGGCCTGCTAAACCCAGGGTTGTGAGTTCAAGCCTTGAGGGGGCCATTTAGGGATCGGGGCAAACCTTGGGGATTAGTCCTGCTTTGAGCAGGGGGTTGGACTAGATACCTCCTGAGGTCCCTTCCAACCCTGATATTCTATGATTCTATGATCTGTGATGGCAAAAAGAAGGAAATTCCCAGGCAAACCCCTCAGCTCTGTTGCTAGGGGCTGCCCAGGCTCCCTGCACGCCGGAGCTCCCGCCCTTGGGCAGCTGGGGCAAAGGGAGTTGGGGTGACCCAGCCCCAACATCTGGAAATACTCGGGGAAGTTTTGCACAGTCACCAGCCTTCACTCTACCCCTCGCTGCTGCCTGTCTGCTCCCTCCACAGCTCTGCCCTGTCCAGAGCCCGCTTCGCTCCCAGAAGCCCTGGAGCCTGCGGACAGCCCCGGAGCCTGCGGACAGCCCCACGCGCCAGCCGGGAGACGGCAGACGTGCCCACGGCTGCATTGTCACAGACCAGAACCTCTGCACTCACACGGAGCGTGCTAGACCCTCCTCTGAAATATATGGGTCACAGTCCCGCAAACACCCTCCTGGGATGGGCCTGACCCTCCCTCCCTCCCAAACCCCCTCATGGGCCGGGCCTGGCCCTCCTACACAATGTCCCCACAGGACGGCCCGACTCCCACCCAACACCTGTCCCAAATGTTCTCACAGGATGGGCCTGTCTCTCCCTTGCCCCAGACCCATCACTGGACAGGCCTGCCCCTCCCCCACTCACACGCCATCACGGGAGGGGCCTGACCCTCCCGACCCCCACCCCACACACACACAGGAGGGCTCTGACCCCCTGTAGTTGAGGGACCTGCAGGGGCAGTGCCCACCGAGCAGAGGTGCCAAGGCCCGGATCCCCTCAACTGGCAGAGGCTGTTGTGGCTGGGGGACGGGGTATTTGGGGCTGTCATTTGCTCAGGCCCCATCGCCCCCGTGCTGCTGAGCCCCAGAGCCAGACCCCCGGACCCCAGCTCACCGATGTTGGGGTGGTTCAGGCCCTTCATGATCCGCACTTCCCGGAAGAGCTGCAGGGGGCAGAGAGACGGGTGTGTGTGTGTGGGGGGGTGTTAAACAGCCTCACAACTCCTCCTCACCTGCCCCACCACCTCTAGCCCCCCAGGGCCTTTCCCTCTAGGGGGCACTGGCTCCAGTCCAGCCCCACGGCAGGGGAGCAACTGGTTCAAGGGGACAGGGAATGAGACATGGGGCCTTTCCCCTCTGGGGGGCACTGGCTCCGATCTGACCCCATGGCTGGCGAGTAGCTGAGGGGGACAGGGAAGGGGACATGGGCTCTTTCCCCTGGTGGGGGGGACGCTGGCTCTGATCTGGCCCATGGCTGGCGAGTGGCTGAGGGGGACAGGGAAGGGGACACGGGGCCTTTCCCCTCTGGGGGTGCCGGCTCCGATCTGACCCCATGGCGGGCGAGTGGCTGAGGGGGACAGGGAATGGGACACGGGCTCTTTCCCCTTGGGGAGCACTGGCTCTGATCTGGCCCTATGGCAGGGGATGGGCTGGCTCAGGGGTTTGTTCTCATCTGCTCCCCACCCACAGCTCCTTTGCTAATTAGCAGCCCCTGGAGATGCCTCTGGAGCAGCTGTTACCACAGCGACCAGTCTGGCCTCTGGGCACTAATTAGAGCAGTGATCTGAGGGAGGGGAGCCCGTGTCAATGCCAGGGGCTGGGGCAGCCAGTGCGGGCTGGGGCTGGTAGTGTCCCGAGGTGGGGGACAGGAGCGGGGCAGGTGTCCTGGGGTGGATGGGAAAGGGGGGCAGGTGTCGGGCAGGGTGGGTGTCCCAGATTAGCTGCGCGGAGAGGCGCAAGGCAGGGCCGAGGGATGGTTCCCTAGGATAGCGGGGTGGGGTGCTGGGTATGGGACCCGAGCTCACGGAGGAAGCACAGTGAGGAAGTCGCAGGCATGGGGAACCCAAATGCCAGGGCCAGAGCCTCCCCTCTCCCAGCCCGGAGCACAATGGGCTCTTTGTGAAGCCTGGGAACCCAGCCGCTGGCGTCGGAGCTGTGCCGTGGGCAGCCAGCGGGAGGTGGGGGGCAACCCCCATCCAGGGTGGCCTGGAGCTGCTGCCCATCCTGCCAGTCCCAGGCCTGGCTACCTCTGTCCCTCCAGGCTCAGACCCCGGGCAGCGCAGCCCCTGCCGGGACATTGCCCCCTCCCCAGGGCATGGGTCTGCCAGCACCTGCAGGGTGTGGGGCCCCTCCCCCTCCGCTCATGCTCACCTTCTGGAGGCTCGTGGGGTTCAGCTGCGTCTTGTCGATGATTTTTATTGCCACCTACAAACAAACCAGATTCTGGCTGGGGGGGGGGGGGGTTTAGGGCACTCAGTGCCTGCGCCCCCCACTTCCCTCTTTGTGCCCCATACGCTCCTCCACTCCCCTGCCCCATCTGCACTTGTGCTATACTCCAGCAGCCCCTGACACCTCAGCCTCCCCCACTCTTCCCAGTGCCCCCCCTTGGAGATCTCCCCTGTGCCCCCCCAACATCTGAGCTCCCCTGTGCACCCCCTCAGTTTACACTACTCCAGAGAGCCCCACTACGTCCCCCACCCTCCGTGGAGTGCTGCCACGTGGCTCCCCACGTCCCCTGCTCTCCCCGGAGCGCTGTCCCATGGGCCCCCCCCCCCCCCCCGTATTCCTTACTTGCCCTCCCTAGCGCGCTGCCCCATGGCCCTCTGCAGCGCTGAGCCATTGCCCCTGCCCTCACTGGAGCGCTGCCCCATGACCACCCTATAGCCTCCAACCCCACAGAGTGCTGCCCCGTGGCCCCCGCAACCTCACCTCTCTGCCTGTCAGGATGTGCCGGGCCAGCTTGACCTTGGCGAAGTTGCCCTTGCCGATGGTTTTGAGGAGTCGGTAGTTGCCGATGTGGGGCTGCTCGTCGGTGCAGGAGGCGATGGAGTTCCGGCAGCGTGCACCCAGCGACCGGCTGGACCACGACGAGCCCTTCTCCGAGCGGCTGCTGGCCAGGGTGGAGTGCTGCAGGGGAGAGAGACAGCGTCGCCTGGGGGCAGGAGGGCACCAGGCGCTGCGGGGAAAGAGTCCTGGCTCCCAGCTTCCTGCTCTAATCGCCAGACCCCACTCCCCTCCCAGAGCTGGGGAGAGAACCCAGGAGTCTTGGCTCCCAGTCCCCCGCTCTAGCCACCAGACCCCACTCCCCTCCTGGGGCTAGTGCACCGTTTGGGTTCGAAGGCATGCTGCGGCCACTCAACAGCTGGGTTAAGTCAGCACAGGGGCCCCAGCCCCATGGTTTCTCCAGTCCCGAGTACCACGTGCCCAGCTGAGCAGGAAAGCCCAGTGGGGTGGAGGAGTCACTGTGCTACCAGAACGAACCGGATCCTGCCTCAGGACGATGGCACCGCACACGGCAACAGGGAGGGCAGGAAGATGCCCTCCAGTCCCCCCCCTCCAGCCCCCTTCCTGGGCACTGGCCAACTGGGAACGGGATCAGGAGTACCTCCCTAGCAAGGGACGCTCCAATGGGCAGCGCTCGGGGCACCATGCCTGTGACGAAGTGGGACTGTTCTTAATGTTTCCTCTGAATAGTGTGGGGGTGCCTCAGTTTCCCCTATGCAGTTCTTAAGTATCTAGGTGGTGGGGTAAGGGCGTATGATCATTGCAGAGCCCTAGAGGGCAGGTGTGCGCAGGGGTCTGGACACAGAGAATGGTCGACACCCTGTTTCCTGGCAACTGATGGCCTGGCCCTTCCCCGCTGCAAGGTGAGAGCTAAAGGGTTGGAGAACAAAGGAATCTGGTGACATCCTGGCCCGGGACAGGGACAAAGCCCAGAGGAGGAGGGGCTGGAGAGAGTTTCAGTTTGGGGCTGGCTGGGGACATGGAGTGAAGTGCAGACGTGGTTGTCTGAGTCACTGCCCCCCAAAATGGACCCAGCCGAGGGGTCCCGTTCTCTGCACCTGCAAGATCTGTTTTAGACCATGTTCCTGTCGTCTAATAAACTTCTGTTTTACTGGCTGGCTGAGAGTCACGTCTGACTGTGGAGAAGGGGGGCAGGACCCTCTGGCTTCCCCAGGAGCCCCGCCTGGGCGGACTCGCTGTGTGAAGCGCACGGAGGGGCAGAGGATGCTGAATGCTCCGAGGTCAGACCCAGGAAGGTGGAAGCTGTGTGAGCTGCGTGTCCTGAAGACAGGCTGCTCACAGAAAGGCGACTGCCCCAGAGTCCTGACTGGCTTCATGGGGAGCAGTTCCAGAGCATCGCCCAGGGACTCCGTGACAACTGGTGGCAGAGGTGGGAGGTACTGCACCCCGTGGATGGCGCTTCCTGCAGTAAGTGACTGGGGAGCAGTAAAACGAAGGGGGATTGACAAGGACCAGGCGTGCTGAAGGCTCAGAGAGGAGCAGTTTCGGGGGGCGGTTAACCCCTGGGAGTGTGTGACCAGCGAGAAGGACTGTGCAGTAATGGGGTCACCCTGGGGACTGCGGTGAGCAGTCTCAGGGACGGAGGAGCCTGCGGCTTGGTCCTGGGAGAGAAAAGGACTTTTGCAGTAACAAGGTTCCCCAGGGGATTGAAGCGAGCGGTCCCAGGGGCAGAGGAGTCTGCAGCTCGACCCTGGAAAAGAGGTGGTGACCTCGAGAAAGCTGGCATACTTGGGGTTCTCCCTGGAAACCGTGGGGAGCTGAGAGCACACGGGCCTGTGAGTCCACAACAACTTGGGAAGAGCGGAGTGATGGCCTATCACCGTCTCCTTAAGAAGGACATTGTAACCCTTTGCAAAAAGAGAGTGTTAAGCATTGGAAAGTTCACCAAAGCACAGTTAATCGTGCAGCTGGAGGAGGATGACCGCTCTAAGGAACAGATTCCTGACCCAAATGGGGCTATAGCAGGATCCGGGAGCAGCTGGAGTGGTAGCCAGGCATCCCGAAAACTCCTGTCCCCAACCAGACGGGGGTCTTCATGATCAGGTTCCCCATCGGGGGATCGGAGACGGACGGGATTGGAGCTGAGTCCGAGGGAGCAAGAGGACTGTGAGAGACAGCGAGAGTCCAAGAAATAGCTGCAGAAGCAGCAGCAGCATGAACTGGCAGTGGTGGAGCGGAGAGGCATAGGGGACCCCCCAGGGGTGAGTGGGGATAGACCCCGGGGGGCCAGTTCCGCAGGGAACCTTGAGACTAAATTGCTGCCCCTGGTTAAGGAGGGGGGGATGTGGATGCCACCTCACTGCCTTTGAGCAGGCTGGAGATTTGAACCGGGGGGACCCTGCGGAAAAGCCCCGGTGTCTAGCTCCCTTGCTGGGTCCCAAGGCCATAGACTCTGTCAGCCAGGTGGGTGGGGAGGTGGACAGGCTCCCACTCCTGACCCCAACCTATATGTCTGTGTGGAGTTTCCTGGGGTCAGGCCCCTCGGACCTCCAGTGGGAGTGGAAGGTGATGGTCAATGGGGAGACATTTCTGTGGTGGCGAGATCCTGGGACAGAGAGAACCGTTGTCAGGCCCTGGGTGGTGCAGCCTCAGATGCTGAGGGGCTGTGTGAGCTGGGTGAGGGTCCCAGGGACGAAGCCCCTCGCCCTGCCTATGGCCCAGATCCCTGTGCAGACACAAGAGGGGTGGGGCTGGCTGGCCGTTGGGGTGCTCCAGGATACCAGCTGTGAGACCCTGTTGTGGGGTGACTGTGTCTCTTTGGGACAGGATCCAGGCCCTGCTCCTGTAACGGCCAAGGGTTTGAATTTGAATCCAGGGAAAACAATCAGGGGAGAGGGAAATGGTCAGTGAAAATGCAGATGACCTGGCTGGCAGGGGGGAGGAACTGCTCGGCTCAGGCTACCTGCCTGCGTGTAACCAGACCCCTGGGGCTCCCCGCCTCCCTTGCACACTGGAGAGGGGGCTCACGCTGGCTCTGATGCTGTGAGGAAAGCAGGGAGCTCGCTGCCTACCCCCACTGGGACAGCAAGGGCAGCGCTGAGCACAGTGGGAGCTGAGACCCCAGCTGAGTGCGGGGAGACACAGGCAGGGCAGGGGATCTGTTGGGAGTGGCAAGGTGCTTGGTAAGAAAAGTCTGGATGAACCTAGGCAGCCTTATGAGCTGATGGCTTTGTCTAGTCAGCAGTGGGGGAAGGCGAGGAGAGTGGAAGACGAGTGTCCCTGGACCTTACCTGTTAGCTGGGTGGAGAATTGTGACAGTGAAGGAAACGTGCCTGTGTCTGTCAGGGGTATTGACTTGCCTATGGAGGGAGCTACCCTGATCTCCAAGTAGTTGTCTGTGACCAGCCTTGTGTGCGGGACAAGGGGAATGAGATCCCAAGCTGTGTGTCTGGGAAAGGAGAAAGTGTGTCCGGCTCTTCTTTGTCTGTGGAGCAGACAGAAGGGGTCTTTCAGCCTGTGATGGTTGAGGGTAGTGAAGTTGTCTCAGAGTTTGTTCTGGATTCAGCTAAAGCCCAGGAAGAGAATGGTCCTAAGTTTGTGTCTGCTCGGGAGAATGGCCCTGTAACTAGGTCGCATCCAGTCAGTGTCTATGTAAAATCCCAGAGACCAGACAATTCTGGTGCTTGTATTTTGCCTGTTGCTCGTGTGTGGTAAAGGGAAGGAGAATGCTTCTGACCTTTTATCTAGGAAGTCTGTAAGTTTGCCTGAAAGGGGATTGTGTAGGAATCCGCCTGATGGGCCAGAGGTAATTCTGGATGTAAGTGAGACCCAGAAAGAGTCTGTTGTTGCTCAGGAAAGTGTTCCTCTAGAGCAAGCCCTAGGTAAAGAGGGTAAGAGCAGAATTTCTGTGAGGGGTGAATTGTTGCATAGAAAAGCCCTAGGGAAAGGAATCCTCATGGAGTCTTTGCAAGCAGTTTACTGCAACTGAAGGGTGTGAAAGTGATTTAATCAAGAAAGTCTCTGTTCCTAACAGCCAGAAATTTTCTGTTGTGAATGGATCCACTGACTTTCCTGTTGAAAGATCCAGTGTGGAGAGCTTTGAGAAGGTCTCAGACGGAGTGAAAGCTGTTAAGAAAGTTGAACAGTCCTATAACTAAGTGGCTGTGTTTGGCCAGCTTTTTGGGGAGGCAAGGTTGTTGAGAAAGGAATGTCTCCATGCTAGTTCTGTAAGTGAACAGTATGTGGCCCAGGTCCAGATGGGGGCCCTTAACCAAGACAGACCGAATTGCAGCCCTCCAGACTGGAGCGCTGGGAGAAGACCCAATCCCAGTTTGACCCCCTGGGGTTTTGGGGTGGCCAAAGGGCACAGGCCATATAAACCTTCCCACATGCGGCCTGCGAGTGCTATCGACCACCCCGACCTAAGGGAGGGCGTGAAACTGGAAGGGCCTGGTGTAACTCCCACCAAGGAATGGGAGAGATGCTGGGGCATCCATGGGAATGTTGGTGGCTTCTAACTTCCCCAGGTCACCGGCTAAAGTGACCCTGCTCAGTTCGGTCTCGAAGGGAGGAGAGATGTGACGAAGTGGGACTGTTCTTAATGTTTCCTCTGAATAGTGTGGGGGTGCCTCAGTTCCCCCTATGCAGTTCTTAAGTATCTAGGTGGTGGGGTAAGGGTGTATGATCATTGCAGAGCCCTAGAGGGCAGGTGTGTACAGGGGTCTGGACACAGAGAATGGTCGACACCCTGTTTCCTGGCAACTGATGGCCTGGCCCTTCCCCGCTGCAAGGTGAGAGCTAAAGGGTTGGAGAACAAAGGAATTCGGTGACATCCTGGCCCGGGACAGGGACAAAGCCCAGAGGAGGAGGGGCTGGAGAGAGTTTCAGTTTGGGGCTGGCTGGGGACATAGAGTGAAGTGCAGACGTGGTTGTCTGAGTCACTGCCCCCCAAAATGGACCCAGCCGAGGGGTCCCGTTCTCTGCACCTGCAAGCTCTGTTTTAGACCATGTTCCTGTCGTCTAATAAACTTCTGTTTTACTGGCTGGCTGAGAGTCACGTCTGACTGCGGAGAAGGGGGGCAGGACCCTCTGGCTTCCCCAGGAGCCCCGCCTGGGCGGACTCGCTGTGGGAAGTGCACGGAGGGGCAGAGGAGGCTGAATGC